TCGGGTTCATGTGTATAATAGGGCTGAAGTTATTAGTTTGAGAAAGCGCACTGGACGCTTGTTTTCATTCTCGTCTATTCCAGTAATATCGTACTTTGCAACTCGATCCTCCTTTAACAATGAAAGAAATCATTCTCTGGTTTTTCGGATTCATTGTTGCGAAGGGGTTGTCTACTTTAAGCTTAGATTTGTTGTATAGTGTGATTTAGCTTAACTATGCAGATATCATACCTCAATGCGCGCCTGACTTATAGTTCCTTGAAAGAGCACCTTGGCATTTCTCCTATTAAGCCCTTTTAAGCCAGTATAAGCTTTATCGCATTCTGACATTTTAGCCACCCAACAGCTGTCCTTAATCTAGGCCTCACGAATTCACATGTCTCCTTGTTCGTCTTCGTGAAAACTCGAGCATGAAATCAAACTCAAATTGATAAAATAAGTTATTTCAACTTTTCATTCAAATAAGAACTGGGGAAAACGAGCTTTCACCAAATTTCTCTGAACGAAAGCCAGATGTATGTTTGCCCTAAATATAAATACTTATTAAAAAGCAATTTTTAGACCTATCAAATGCTGCACCATAGAACACTTATGTAAGGAAATATAGTTTGCATTCCTAAACTTCAATGGTGAGAAACTTGTGTTCCGTCATCACCATTGTCACTATTCACAATTATCTTAACTCAGGATATATCTTTGGAAGCCCTAGTTTGTATGGTATTCATCTCGCTTTTATTCAGTAATCAGATTAGTGAAAGGATTTCAACAAGGATCCTCTATTAATCGGAGTCCATCCATTGGCTGACTACTACTGTAGTGATTAAACTGGGATTTCAGTGATATTTTACTTCAGATAAGTCGTCAATTTTCAGTCATTCTATGTTCCAAATACCTGTATTGACATTCCATATTTTTTAGTCTACTACACCCTGTCGCCACCTTTCAATGCAGTCATCCCGAGTGCTTGCAATGGCTTGGTCACCTGGACGCTCTGGCGAATTTGCTATTTCCACCAAGGATGGGAGTTTGCGCATCTGGCACGTCAATGACTTTGACAACGCTCTTCTTGTCAGCAATTACAAGAAAGTTCCCATGTATCGACTTCGCTATACAGTGAGTTTCTTAATTATATAGTTATATATTGCAATATTATATAATGTTTCATTTGTCCGTTAGCAATAGTTCTGTGGAAAACTTTGTAGTTGGATAGGGTCAGTTATTTAAAAGTGGGGCTTCTCTGACCTGCTTTTCAGTTCTTTTCAGATTTATGGGTTTGATTTTATCGAAGTTTATTAGGACTTTAAAATTTGTTTTCATAGTAAGTTGGCAGGGTTGTGAAAGGCGGACAAAGCCTCCCTTGTGGTGAGCAAAAATGAGGAGGCATGTAGAGGTGCCACATCCGTTAAGTATTTTATCTGCTGCGCACAATACTCCAGAAGACCTATAGATAGGAGAAAATTTACACTTTCATTATTAGGTTGACAGAAACCTGATAGATGAGGGTAGATTAGTCATACTCAAGTCCGCATTTCCAGCATTAACGGCCCTGTGATTCCACGCTTGGATATCCTTCCGGATTACGAAATTATATCAAAAGGCAGGGTTATAATTTAGGGTATGAGGGTTTCCACGAGGCTAGAAGGGGTAAAACATGAAGTAACTTGAGAATCAATATAAGCCATGTGGTATCCCTTTAGTTGGTAAGCCTTGAAAGTTTATCATATGCAAGGTAATGCTCCACTACTATAGAGAATTCCGGTTACTTTTCCACACTGAAACATTGCCAAAGTGTTTTGACTTGTTGTGCTTTATGCATTTTATTTAGCCAAAAGGATCGGGAATTATAAGTGTTCCCCAGCGCACACGTTGGACTAACTCGGGTCTCATACTCTGGCGTTCGGACACCCTCTCTCCAATGCGTTTGGTGCCCACGATGAATGGTGATGATAGCTATCGAACTCCGAGTAAAAGTGCTAATGGAAGTAGTGCTGAAGGCAATACAGGCTCAAGCGCTGACAGCATCAATGATGATAGCTGTGTCCTTGGCTTTGGTTGGTGTCGAAATGAATTCCCTCCCACTTGCCCCACATCTGAAGTAGAGTCTGAAGATTTCAATAATCTTCGTGAAACATGTATGCTCTACGCCACTTCACTTGCTTACCTCATGATACGCGAACTTAATACATTACTTTTTTTCTTTAACTGCAGTAAAACCAGCCAACCTTGTCTCCTGGTCACGAGATCGTCATTTGAGGGTGCATAATCTTCCGTGTGCTTTTCTCCACGTCGATGGGGTCAAACCACCAACTTATAGAACTTCGCAACAAGAAGTTTCTCCTCTTGAAGCTGGGAAAGAATCAAAGTCAAAAGGGTCTCTTAACGAGGTAACGATTTTGATTTATTTATTTTTTTTATCGTATGTTTATTATTGTAATTGTGTCGGATTTGCTTTGTTATGTTTTCTGTTGGGGGTGTGCGATAGACTTACCTCCACGTGGTGCACCCTGTGGGTGTGCGATAGACTTACCTCCACGTGGTGCACCCTGGGAAACGTATACTCATACGGTAAAAAGTCTATTAACCGGAAGTTTGTGTGCGATAGACTTACCTCCACGTGGTGCACCCTGGGCAGCGTATTTTCTTACGGCAAAAAAGTCTATCACTCGGCTTTCGCTATATTCATACGGCAAAAAGTCTATTAACTGGCAGTTAACTACGATAGACTTACCTCCACGTGGTGCACCCTGGGCAACGTACTTTCTTACGGCAAAAATTCTATCACTCGGCATTCGTTTTTCAATAGACTTACCTCCACGTGGTGCACCCTGGGCAACGTATAATCATACGGCCATACGGCAAAAAAAGTCTATTAACTGGCAGTTGACTTCTGACTCAATAAAAAAGTCTATTATTCGGCAGTTGACTTCTGACTTCAAAGCGGCAAAAAAGTCTATAAACCGGCAGTTGACTTCTCACTATCGGCAAAAAAATTCTATTAACCGGCAGTTGACTTCTGACTTCAACGGCAAAGTCTATTAACTGGTAGTTGACTTCTCCGCATACGGCAAAAAAGTCTATTAACCGGCAGTTTTCTTCTCACTTCAAACTACCATGACCCCCCTATATGTCCTACATTCTCATACGGCAAAAAAGTCTATTAACCGGCATTTGACATGACTTCAAACTACAATCACCCCACTGTATGTCAAATTCGACTACTTGACTTCAAACTACCATCATCCCACTCTATGCCATATTCGTAAATTCGACCACTTCAACAGTACTCATCTTACCTTTTCTCTTCGACTTCTCACTTCAAACTACCATCACCCCACTGTATGTCAAATTCGACCCCTTCCACAGTACTCACCTCACCTTTGCTCTACTGTCGACTTCTTCCACAGTACTAACCTCACCTTTTTTCTACCTATTTCTCACTTCAAACTACCATCACCCCACTGTATGTCATATACCTCTGACTTCAAACTACCATCACCCCACTGTATGTCATATTTCACCACTTCCACAGTACTCACCTCGCCTTTTTTCTACCTTCAGTTGACTCTAGCTACCATGACCCACTGTATGGCATATTAGTCTACTTCCACAGTACTCACCTCACCTTTTTTCTACCTCTGAGTCTGTATACTTCCATAGTACTCACCTCACCTTTTTTCTACATTTGTATCTTCCACAGTACTCACCTCACCTTTTTCCTACCTTTTCTAAGCCTCCACAGTACTCATCTTACCTTTTTCTCTACCTTCGTGTAACACAGTACTCACCTCACCTTTGTTCTACCTTTGTGTCTGTTTAAACTACCATGACCCCACTGTATGTCATATTCGACCCCTTTCACAGTACACACCTCACCTTTTTTCTACCATTGTCTCTCTACAGTATTCACCTCACCTTTGTTCTATCTTTGTGTTTGTCTCTTCCAGTACTCACCTCACCTTTTTTCTACCATTGTCTCTCTACAGTACTCACCTCACCTTTTTTTCTACCTTTATGTTTGTCTCTTTCATCTCTGAAACACCCTTCTCTTCCTCCCCCCCCCCTCTCGACTTTTTCATTTTGTTGTTCCTCCCCCTCTGTGAAGTCTGAAGTCAACTAAAGGGCCAATGATAACCATCAAGACGCCTGCCATTTGATATAAATAAATGTCTTTTGTTGATATTTTAGAATGCCAGTAGTGGCTCGATTCCCTCTGACTGGGCTTCCGTAATGCAAACCAGTAAGTAGTATTTGCTTCTCTAGACGTTAATGTATATATATACCTGCATGTGGAGGTTGGTGATATGGGGTTTTACAACATAGATCAACCTTTTTTGAGTTAAATGCGTTGTATTGAATTGATTAATTTACGCCCGTTTCTGAAATAAGTTCCTCTATCTGACCTGTCATCATTATGCTCTAATAGAACACAGTTTGAAATGTCTGGTTAAGTGTGCCATGGCATGGCCTAATCGCCTCCTTTATATTCAGTTATTCCAACCGACAGCTTACGTGTTTTAATGGCAGGCACTTACCTATCGTGTTCCGAGTCATCTTGTTAAGAAATAGACTGACCTACTTTGCACTATGGCTCCCAAGTTGCATGGTACTACCACTTCAATTGCAGGTGCAGCTGTAGTGTGTTTCCATTGTTCTCAACTTTAAAAATAAGCCGATGAACATCTGCCTTCTCATTAGTCTGCATAACTGACTTAAAGAGAGTTTAAACTTATATTTTCATCGATTTCATTCCCAATTATTCCACAAATTGGCGTTCAACAGTTTCTACCTAAAGTAATCTCCCTGAATGTAACCACTTTCGACCGCATCATGGAATCAAGCATCTTTTGTAGCTCAAACGCAGTCCGAGGAGTACGATCCACCTGCTTTCCAGTTCGTAACCCAAGAGGTTTCTCTCCTCAGCTCGTCCATAGGCCAGGTCAGTTTACGCTTTTTGAGCTACTAATATTGGGAATGCTACTGTGTCTATTGGGGGCCTTTTTACACCTTTGGCACCTTTATTTACAAAGAAGTGTTAGGTTTGGCATCAAATCAATGCTTGCAACTTGATAGACTTTAATTTCAATTCACTGCTGTTATTTAAAAGATGTCTGAAGGAGTACAGAGGGTGAGTAGAGGCGACTCTCTTGTTACAATGGCCACTAACCTCTAGAACACTATGGGACAGTGTAGTTGAGAATGTCTGGTGTTCGTTCTTGTTGTTGAGATTTTTAAGTCGACTTCAACTTCATCAGCGCGTTGGCTTTTTGGTATGACAGTACCCTGGTCACCATTTTGCTAAAACAGTCCTATGATGCTCAGTGTGAGATGCTGGTAAGTCGGAGGACATCCCGAAACTCGTTTTTAGTTTGCCTATAACAGGAGTGAATTCGTAGCTATGCACACTTTCTGTTCCTGTGGCATCCCTTTACATTTTACTTGCCATACCTTCATCAAACTAACTTGTCCCTATTGCTTATATTGGAAGTCTTGCCTCAATTCTTCCTCTAAGTACGTAATATCAGGTTAGTCTATATTTTTGTTATTAGGCTAGGCTATCTCTCCGATAATTGCATTATGCGTTCAAAATTTCAAGCTACAGTGTTTATTCGGTCCAATTATTCAAATCTATTCGAATTAGTTTTCATCGGATCCAACGTTAAGGAACCTAGCTTTAAGTACTTTGCATTTGTTCGATGTACAATTTGGAGTTGATCTAATGGGAAATTGTTGTGGGTGCGATCTTTATAAAAGTTAAAGGGCTACAGCACAAATGTATAGCTATAACTATAGCAAGATAATTGTGTTGTGTTCTGGGGTGAATTAATATCGCCACCTTCCTCTCTAAGTGGGCCCTTTCTCCCCAAAGCAGTTTTGACCACTTCACATTTGTGCAGCAATCGCACTAAACTTATCAGAATGCTTATAAACAAGTCCTGTCTTGTAGTATACAATTGAGAGTGTGGATCGTGACCGTACTCAGTGTACTGTACGACTTCGTCTCTACTACTGTCGCCGTAATCACTACCACCACCGAACTATCTGCGGTTTTGATCTCTTCAATGAAAGTTCTAATACTGCTTCTAATTCCCGAACTCGTTCAGATTCTCTCCCTTTGGCCGACCTAGATGCTTTATTTCAATCCACGACGGACCCCGTTGCCATGGCATCAGTCACAAATCTTATTAGGACTGGAGCGAGGACTCTGGAATCCCTTCCGAGTGCTGGAAATATGACTCTGGTGGCTAAATTCCCTCTTTCGTACCCGGCTGCAGACTGTCCACCTATTTTCCAATTTATAGCATCGGATCCTGTGATTAATGAAGTGACACTTTCTAAGATATTAAGAGTAAGTTTGCTATGTTACTATTTTATTGTACAAATGTGGATTGAAGGCGCCCTGATGCCTACCTAATGACTTAATAATGTTGAAAGCACTGGCTTTCTCCCTTTCACTCCCATCGCTATACGTTAAGAAGATTGGTATAAAACCTGCATTTATGGATATTGTCGTCTGATAGGAGTTGGAGGGGGGGGGGGGGTAAGTGGTGGCGTATTGAACAAAAAAATCTTGAGATGAGTTTGAGTAGTTATTCGTAGAAAGCA